CTCTTGTCCAGCAGTCGACTGGCGTTACTGGAACATTCATGCTGACGCTGTTTCCGAGGCAATCTTCTTCAATTCCGGTGAAAAGGTGATACAATTTCGTCTTAATGTGACGCACATGATCAGAGCCAGAATGGTATCATTGTCATAACAAAATGCAACCTAACGAGCCAAAAAAAGTCACCGGCAAATCCCTAAAAAGTGGAGAAGTGGAAAATGAATTCTAGGCCACCTTCTGCTTACAACCTTCCCAAAATGCACAAGAAAGGAGTTCATAAAAGATTGGTTGTTGATAACAAGGCAACTGTGATGCATACGATCTCACGTTTATTGTGTTGACAACTAACGAAATTGGCTGAGTATTGGGAATATTCAGTGAAGAATTCATATGAATTTGTTAGATTTGTAGATCAACAGAGTATTAAAGAGGAGGATCTTTTGGTTAGTTTTGATGTGGTATCAAAGTAAAGTTAAAAAAACTATTGAACCACTTACACTCAGCCGACATGAGCGCCCGGAAATTATTGAAGAAGGACATCTGAACAAAAGCTCAAGCTTAAGACTACTTATTCTATCAATGAGTAGTACATACTCCATCTTTATGAATAGATGCAAGGCTCCCATTTTGGCTAATAATTACATGTCAAGAATCGATGACTACTTTGGGAGGTCATCAAAGCTTGATGCCCGAAAAAACATGCGTTTCTCTTTGCTGTACTAATTACTGCGGGTTTCGTGCATAAGCGAACATAAACAGGCACACACACACACACACACACACACACACACACACACACACAGAGTCAGATACACTCACATGCATCGAAGTTGACATGTGACCGTAACTAACCAAATCACTTTATACTTGATAAAAAAGGGGTCGGATGTGGAGTATAGATACCACTTTTTAGGGATTTTCCGGTGAGTTTTCTTGACTCGTCAGCTTCAATTTGGTTGTGATGATGATACCCTCCTGGTTCTGATGATGTTCGTCACATGAGGCACGAAAGCTTATCACCTTTTCTCCGGAATCTAAGGAGATTACGTCGGAAACAACGTCAGCAGGAATGTTCCAGTAAAGCCAATCGACAGTTGGTCTTCTGGTGGAGCCGAGCTTCGAATCTCTTCACGCAACACTTTCCCTCGAAATGGAAGTGATCTCAACAATTGTAAAATAATAGATTCCTGTAAACGCAACTAGTAACTATCCTTCTTCCTCACCCTATGCGACCTGACAAGCATACAGTTCCCATTTCTGTTAGAGCCGTACGTATTCGAGTTTTGTGATTCTTGGCATCGACTTGACGCAAATCACGCAACCGTCAACTTTTTCGGTTCTTTCTTCGAATGCGGCGCAATGTGTGAATGGGCCAAGTTACTGAATAGGCTCAGGATTGTGTAAAAGAATATGTTCTATTTCGGAGTTGCAGACTTTTCGGAATTAGATTTTTTATTTCTTTTCTCTTCTCGCTTCAACTTGCTCTGTCGCCTCATCCTTGCTTGGTGCCTGCAGCCGCTGTCTTCCGGGCCTCGGGCCGCCTCCAAAGCCCCGACCGGCTCTCCGCCTCAGCGCGCCTGCCTCCCGCCTCGGTCGGCAACTGCGCAACGCCTCACTCGGACACCAGCTCGGCCGACCACTGCCAGCTCTATTTGCGCCCGGCAACCGGCCTTGACAACGTCACTGTCGCCCGTCTCTCCCGTCTCTCTTGGCAACCGACGAGGCGGTGGATTGAGGCAGCAGCGCTCGATGCAACTGCAGACGGTACCGGACACGAGGGCCAATCTACGACAGGCCACGGTTTCGGGCGCCGCCCCCATCCACAGCATCGCTCGACCCTCCGGACTCAGGTACCAACACCACTGCACCCTCTGCTCGCAGAAACAGGAAGCGGGTGTGTGTTGGTTGTCCGATTGTTGGGCGACTTTGTTGTTGTTTTCTGTATGAAAGTAGTGGGAAAAATGCATTTTTCAGTTTACCTCCTCAAACCAAATGGGCTGGATACACGTCACCTAGAAGCATTTACAACAGTACACATGCAAATATGAACCTATTCAAGCTCGTATATAAACTTTCGAGCAATCTTTTGTTTCATAATTGTTGATTTTATTTCCATTTAGAGTGAAAGTGTTGCTTAAAGAGATTCGAATGTCGGTTCCATTAGAATACGACTTACTTTTAAACGAAACATATTCACTCGAAGCTGTTTAAAATTATGCCAAGAAAAGTTGGGTTTCGAGAAATCTTTTGTTTCATAATTGTTGAGTTTATTTTCATTTCGAGTGAAAGCGTTGCGTGAAGAGATTCAAAGGTCGGTTCCACTAGAAGACGACCTTCTTTAAAACCAAACATCTTCCCTCGAGGCTGTTTAAGATTATGCGAAGAGAATTTTGGGTTTCGAGGAATCTCTTCTTTCATGATTGTTAAGTTTATTTCCATTTCGAGTGAAAGTGTTGCGTGAAAAGATCCTAATGTCGGTTTCACCAGAATACGACTTACTTTTAAAAAAAACATATTTACTCAAAGCTGTTTAAAATTATGCCAAGAAAAGTTGGGTTTCGAGGAATCTCTTCTTTCATAATTGTTGAGTTTATTTCCATTTTGAGTGAAAGTGTTGCGTGAGGAGCAATCCGCCGTCGTCTTCGGGTGGAAGCGACCTTGGAATCTCTA